TCTCATTATACTATGTAATCAATTTATAAAAATTTAAATGAATCACCTCGTCGCCCCACAATAAACTATCATTTTCCCTATCTTTTTCTTTATTATAAATTGATAAAAATTGTTTGACTCCTTGATCACGAATATGGTCAGCATATGGTTTTGTTTGTTCCCAAGGAAGTAGTTTATCCTTAGATAATATTCCCATTATCTTCAGGTTCAAACGTTACTGATACGCACTAAGAAAGTTGAAATGTTAAATTTGGTATAAATATATATATTTTGTGATAGTGGTACGTACATACGTAGAAAATGGACACAATGAAAATGAAAATGGAAGATGGATTACATAACATGCATATACAGAATAATAATATATAATCATGAATGAAACATATACGTACGTACGTACGTACGTACTGTACATATATCAACAAGATAAAGCGGCGCACTAACATTGAAAATTAGATAAGTCAAGGGTAATTATTGAGTAGAGAGAAAATGGCAGCCAATCTCATTTTGTTAAACGATTATGAAGATTTCTTAAATCAATCAGTAATAGAGGCATGATAATAATCATACACGCCGTAAGCATATTGTGAATGCTATATAATATATAAGAGCCCAGAAATTTTTAATACAAGAAATTCTAAACATATACGAGACAATACATTACATAGCACATAATATTATATATAGAGAGTACGGATCCTATGCAATACTGACATATTTACATGTGCTTTCATGTTTCTCGTATGAAAATGCCTTATGTATACTAGCGGAAGGTTTTTCTTATGAAATTTTGGTACGTATAATTACATAATTCATATTTCCTACAATGCTATATTGCAACGGTTAGATGAAATAATGTAGCACAGTTAAACCTCCGGAATTTATTTAGCAAATAATGCATATTAATGGCGGCGTTTTGAGGGTGTTGCATTTAATTTAAAGAGATTGCAATTAGGGAGGTCTGACTGCACTACGTATTGATAATATTAAAGTTTCGATTAATGATGGATGACGAAATATTCATTATTGATAAATGTCGAAATATACGCCATTAATCTTGATTAATGATGAAACCATTTCGTAAGGTAACTTCATGTTGGTGAAAGCCAGGTTCGTTTTAAGCAGGGATAAGGTTACCTTATTGATTCATTTAGTAGATTTTTAAATATAGATATCAAGAACAAAATTTACGCCATATATGGTAACGAAACTGGCGTTAACGAACTTTCTAATTTGGGCAAGATCGTTTTAAATTTAGCAAAGGTTATGTAATATTTTGATATGCGTGAACCTTTTAAATAAAGGAAATAAAATAATTGATTTGAATGGCTATGACATGTATTGACGTTAATTATAAGGAAGGAATCAGAATTTAGATATATATTATCAAAAAAAAACTGAGGATCGGTAATTATTAATTTTATTTTTGAAATAGTACAAAGTTAAATGAGCACGTGAATAAGATATAATTACAGATAGTGTAATGTTTCAATTAGTGATGAAAACAATGTGACATTAGTAGCAATAAAAAATAAGAGTTGATAGCAAGGCTTCAGGCACAATAATAATATGCCGTTATTTATTGAGCGAGCGAAGATTGTTTGAAGCGTCGTTGTTGATCTGTCAAAAATTAGAGATTAGATAATTAAGATTGAAAAACTGGGTTAGCTAATTTTGATTCATTAGATCAGCATTTACCAATTTGAGGGATGGCTAAAGCAAAGGAGACACTTTTTGGTACATTTATGGTTAGTTAAAATATCGAGAATACAGTACGATTTATGCACTATGTAGATTAATACGTAATTGGACAAGGCTTAGCCTCCAATTTTAGGCGTAGATTGGCAAGTATCGGATTGTGAGTTGAGTAAACGAAAGTCTCACTCAAACTGATGATTATCAATTAATCAGCACGACAAAAAATCCGAAGACAAAAAAACAGAAATCAAAAAAAAGAAATCCATACCGGTAATGTGAATCTACAGTAGGATTTTGTATTTCATAGTATTTTAATGTTAAGTTTACTTAGTTTTTCTACGCTGATGCTCTGCTCAGCTCAGCTCAAAACAATGAATATTAGTAATACGTAGACTATATACGACGTGATAAAATTTGTGATACAGAAGTTCGCCTTTTTTATGCAATTTTTCTCTTAAATAAGATTTCAACATTAGCTAATCACCGTAAATAGAGCAAAAGGAAACAAATTTTACAAGTTTCACAAACATAAGTTCGTCGTTATTACTGTGTTATTGTATTAATTTACTGTGTTAAATATAATATTCAAACGCGCAAATTATTGACTAGCTTAATTGCAATTCTTACTTTCTCACCAGTATTGACCCAAAAGCGTTTAATAATGTGGACAGACAATCAAGCTAATGCGGAATCTTTTTATTCAGGATTTTGTAAAAATCCTATAAGGCCACTACAAGTTGATCCTTTGTTTAACATAAAACAGGCATTTCATAAAAGAGGGGGGGAGGGGAGTATTAAACAACACCAAAAATCAAAAAATACTGTAATTCTATTGGCTGGAAAAAATAAAAAAAAATTCAAAAGGCTAATACTGCAATTTGATTGGTTAATATGGTGTTGATTTTTTATGTAAATTTTTAAAAAATAGAGGGGTATGTTAAACATAAAATCAATTTGGAGTGGCCTAACTAACAATATAATTGCATACATGTACACAGCGCAAATCCAGAAATCAAATTAGAATATACTTCTAACATATCTAAAACTGTGTCAACAAAATACAGTCGTCCCTCATTAATATCAACCTATTTGGATCGCTCTTATATTCATGTTGATAGTGATATTAACGAGGGAACATATTAAATTTGATATATATGAGGGAATTTCAATATAATTTTAATATATAAAAGCTCATTGTACAGCCAAGGTTGATATTAACGGGGTTGATATTAACGAGGGACGACTGTACTACTTCTAACTTATCAAAACTGCGTCATTATCTTATTTTTAAATTAATAAAATAACAATAAAAAATAAATCTATAATAAATATTTGTAACTCCCATGTGTATTGCAAATAAATATAAAATAAATTTAAAACCAAATAAATTCACTATATTTACAAGCAAACCAAATTTTAAATAAAACTAAATACTGTAGTAATAGTATACAAAAGAATAAACTATTCAACTTCATATAAATTTATATTTCATTAAATTTTATTCTGTTTAATCATGCGCATAAAGAATAATTATTGTCGCGGCTGAAGCTTGAAACGGCTGAAGTTTGAAATTAGGGACCTTGATTTAAAAATATAAACTCTACCAAAATCCACTTATACTCTTTTATTAAAAAACTAACCCTAAAACCTAATCTAACTATTAAAAAAAGGTTAAAAAAATGCACCCAAAAATTTCATATTAAAATAATTAAAATTTCAAGCTTCAGCCGTTTCAAGCTTCAGCCGCGACAATTATTAATCTAAGTACAGTATTAAAATAAGCTATTCAATTTTATGAATATTCATACTTATTTTTTTATTTTATTTATGGCAATTTCTATTTATTTACATAAATGTATACTCTCAATAAAATACACACATGATCAGTTCTTAGAAGAATACATATATGTAGAAAAAATGTACTATTAATATCTTTTATTTATTGAAGTATTGTGTAAAAATACATTATAAAAAAATTTTTTCTTAAGCTGTATCGCGCATATTCTTCGTGTAATGCCTTTTATTATTCCATTTTTTACCATATGACATTATTCTTATAATTCATTTTGCCATCTTAATGATTCAATTCTCCACCTTCAGCTACACAGAATATCTTATTTACACGTACCGACTATACGTATTAAAATTATAAGAATATATATGAATATGCTAAAATAGTGATATTAATTTATTATTATAACGCAATGACGTAATTTTTTATAAATGAAAAATCCAAGAATCCCTACTACAATAATAATGGCAATTACAACAGATACATTAATACCAATTTTTCGTTCTAATGAAATTGAATCGTTATAATTAAGGTTTTTTAAATTAGACCCATATATATCTGACGCATCAAAGGTATTGACCCATGTAAAATTTTGTGTATTAAAAATATATAGGGTTGTTATTAAAAATATATAGGCTGTTATTTAAATATAATGGTGATGTTGCTGATTGTGGTTTTGGAGGAACAATTAAACCTAAATATGGGTAAATTAAATATATAAATTTGAAAGATTATTAGTAAATTTAGTACTTTAGTGTACAAAGTTTTTTCATTATATTTAAATTGATCCAGGACATTAAACAAGATATTTTAAATTCAATTTAGAACACGATTACCAAATGTAACGATCATATATATTCCATATAATGTTGCTGAATGCAATATAAGTATTATTGGTGCTTTGTCTGGAATAGCTTTCCATGATATGGGTAAAAATATAGCAACATCAGGTTGTACTTGGGTGTTATTGTATCCTAATCCACCATAAATGACAACAAGTCCATCTTGAGCTATTTAAAAATGTAATATATTGTAAATAAATAATATATAATAATAAATAATAATAATAAGTATTATTATTAATTATTCATTTAAAATGGATGAATGCGCACGACGAGCCTCAATTAAATCACCACGAGTCGTCTAAAAAAATAAAAGTCATTGTTATGTTCCTTTAAGTGATTACACATATACATACTATATATGACCATTTTAAAGTCACCGTACCAAATGTTGGAATCTAATTGATTTGGTTCATTTAGTAATATACAATATATAATTTGGAGCTTTCTTAACTATTGTAAATTATAAATACCTCATTCATATAAAAATTATAATGATTTTCTAAACCACTAATATAAAGTATCAGATTATCTTTCAATATAGCACCATAAGATACATGCGCAGAACCATCATTAAATGGTAATATAGCAAATTTAATGTTGACTATTTCATCATTTTTGTGTCAAAAATATTGATGCCGGTATAAACAGTATAATTGTTTGTCATTGTTTGGTTTTCTTGATATCCTCCATAAAAATAATATTTTCCATTATTATCAGCAACGCCTGTTATTGACATACGCCCTATAAATGTGCTATTGAAATTATAAATGTCAGGAGTTGTCCATTGTAAATTATTGAAATTAAATGCATAAGCAGGTCGTGGCGGAAATATAATGCTTGAAGCATTTTGCTGGCTCTGTG